ACAGTCTTCAAATCTTGAAGGTTCTGTGGGCCTCTTCTATGAACTCTGATCTTTAGTTCTTATTTTCTATTGGATTCAAGTCAGGTGATTGGCTGGGTCATTCTAGCAGCTTTATTTTCTTTCTCTGAAACCAAATGACAATTTCCTTGGCTATGTTTGGGATCATTGTCTTGCTGAAATGTCCACTCTTGTTTCATCTTCATCATCCTGGTACTGTAGGTGTTGCGACTGAACCAGCTAATATTAATTTCCACTGACGAGGGGCATGATTGCTTTGTAATTACTGTCTTGGCTTTCCATGCCTTTTTGCACCTCCCTTTCTTCATGTGTTCAATACTTTTTCCCTGTGTCATTCCATTTTATTACACATAACTTAATTTCTGAACTTTTTTGTTTTGTTTTCTTTATATGTATGGATTACTTGGGTTGTTACCGACATCTGGTGAAAATTTCAAGTCAACAGCACCTTTAGAAATATATTAACTGAGAAAAATGGTGACGTGTTCAATACTTATTTTACCCGCTGTACCTGCTAGTGTACTGTATGTATAATGTAGTTACATAAAATCTGGGATTAAGTCAACTTGTTCACTTGTGTTCAGCGAATGCGTTCGGATGCAGAAACCCAGCGGCCCGTGTTTGATGACATGGAGAGTGAGCTGGCCAAGGCCACGGCGGTCAGCCAGCGCATGCTTCAGGTTCACAGCGAGCGGGACGCTGAGCTGGATCACTACCGGCAGCTCCTGGGCAGCCTGCAGGACCGCTGGCGCGCCGTCTTCGCTCAGCTCGACCTGCGGCAGCGTGAGCTCGAGCAGCTGGGCCGGCAGCTGGGCTACTACAGGGAGAGCTACGACTGGCTCATCCGCTGGATCGCAGACGCCAAACAGCGGCAGGAGAAGATCCAGGCCGTGCCTATAATCGACAGCAAGACGCTCAAAGAGCAACTGGCACAGGAGAAGGTACTGAATGACACAAGCTTTCTCCATAGAGGTTTTCACACGGCGCTTAACCCTGGGTTAACAGCTAGTGACGGATAGTTTTAACAATGGGTTAAGCAATACTTCACGCTTGTTTGAAGACTTTTTTAGTGATATTCTAAGTTGCCTATCCAAAGGTGAACAGTATAAATGCTATGAGTTACACCCAACTCCCACTTATTAAATGCCTCACTTTACGTCATTAGATATTTACCGTTAAGCTCATTTAGTTATCAATGTCCGAGTGAAACTGAAAATAACAAGAACCAGTGACATCAAATGTAATAAATAAAGTATTATTTTTATAGTACATATCAGAGACTGATTTACGTGTCTAAATTTACACAGATAGATAACAAGTTATTGAAATAAATCACATACTCTTGCTGTATTTACATAGTGTTATTCATTTCATAAACATGATAATATAAATATATAAAATAATATTAAATATCTATTTACAGATGTGCAGTGTAGCATTTTAAAAATGAAAGTTTGAGCAGTGTGAAATATGGAAGTAGATCAATAAAGATCTTGTGAGGAATGTTTTAATTCTCAGAAGAAAAGCTTCTGGAATATTAACTTTTATGCAGTAGTTGTCTGACATACATTGCAATGAGATTCTTTTTGTTAAGCTGTTGCAAAGGTATAAGTATAATATGCAGGTTTTTTTCACAGAAACTGCTTGAAGAGATTGAGAAAAACAAAGAGAAAGTTGATGAGTGCCAGAAATATGCCAAAGCTTACATCGATACCATTAAGGTGAGAGAGAGTTCTATAAGAGAGAGTATATAAATGTATTTATTTACCTACAATTTGTGGTTGGAGTGCTACAATCTTAATTTTTTTTCCAGGACTATGAACTTCAACTGGTTGCCTACAAAGCTCAGGTCGAACCTCTGACTTCTCCTTTGAAGAAAACCAAGATGGAGTCTGCCTCTGATAACATCATTCAAGAGGTTAGAAAGAGCTCAGATCATTCACTTCTTATACATTTGCATTATTTGACTGCTGCATAGGTTACTATGGTGTTTATTATTTTCAGTGTGCACTTATGTTATCCTACCAACTTTAATTTAAATATTTTAATTGTAATTTTTTCAATATGCTTTGTCTTTTCCATAGTATGTCACTCTGAGAACTCGCTATAGTGAGCTGATGACGCTGACCAGTCAGTACATCAAGTTCATCACAGACACGCAGCGGCGCATCGAGAACGAGGAGGTGCGTGACATCAGGGGACCCTGTTCATACCAAACTAACCCAACACCTAACATTAACCAACCCAACCAACCACTCATCAGAAAAAACATCTAGATATAATTAATGTATGGCTGACTCGACATTTCTTCTATGCCATTTTGGGCACAAATAAAACTATTTTCAATAGTATTCTACTGCAAGTGTTTCAGAAATATATGACGGGTAGAACACATTTGAATAAATCCTGTCCTAATTATGTCTTGCTTAAAATATTAAGCATTAATAATCACATTATCTGTTAAGGGCAATTTATTTATTTTTTCTATTTTTTACACTTTTATTTTTGCAACAAAAAAGAAGAAAGAATAGCTTATGATGATTAATTTGCAGATACATTTAATTTAATTTAATTTAATTTATTTGAAAAGGTACAAGCAGCTGATGAGGTATTTTGACATTTTAACAGAACAGTAAATGTTATATTTGTACATCAGACAGTGTCTGATACACACTAGAGAGAACAAGCCATATGAGGCCCACCTTTCCTGTATACTTTTCTCTTTTCTCACTACTGTATGTCTTTCAAACCCTAACCTTTGATTTCTTTGCTTCTCTTAACTGCTTGCCAGTGCTTTGTCTTGATGATTGCTTGATCTTTTTTGGGCTCTAAAGAGGTAAAACTTTTCATTATGCTATAGTAATTTCATAACAATATTCCAGTATCCTTCTTCATGAATATTCTGCATTTTCTTCCATCAAGCTTTTATGATTTACCCGTTCTAGTTAAATGTTATGGCACTTTTGTTCATTGTAGTTTTCTGATTCTCATTGCTCATATGGTAGATTATCTACTTAATTCATTTTTAATGACCTTAAATGGTCTCCACAATACCTAACTTAATATACATAACTTAAATATAATAAAGTAGTCGTAGCTGTAATATATTTGTTTATATTTAATATATTTATATATTTTATTTAAATTTTTATATATTTATATATATATATATATATGGTATAGGTGTAAATAATCTTATTTGAGAATCAGATACCTACTGCCCTTATTTGTTATATTTTAAGGTAATTTTTAGATCATGTTATTTTCATACTAAGCTTTCCTCTTTATCTGTGGATAAGGACCTGCATGTCTGCCTGAATCATTGCTTTTAACACTTATAGCTCATTTTCCATCGCTAACTAGAGTACTTGCTTGCACTGTTGGTATTTAGTTGTTCTGTTTTTCTCACCATTTTTTCAGGCCACCAAATCAAGTTCTCATTCTTAACAATGATAAATTGTTTTTTTTAACACACTGGTAGTTTGCATTAATTGTGTGCTAAGTTTTCATCCAGTCATTTAGTTTATAGCAACAGCATATTGATTACATTCTATATTTTTCTGCAAAGCTTTTTTTTTTTAAATCACTTTGTTCAACTGGAATGTAGTAAATGATTTTTATAGTGCTACCATTTAGGAGCATCTCCCTCGCATGTTATGAGAGTGTAGTGTTATAAACCAATGTCTTGTGTCTCCATACATTAATTATATCATCTTACCATAACCCAAATGATTGCATATTATTTTTGACTGTTAATTTACCTTAACCCCATTTGTCATGATTGCATCTAAGCCTGTCTTTCTTTGAGCCAAATAATCATCTTAACGCTTAAAGAATTAGTTCACTGAAAAATGCAAATTTTTGTCATCATTTGCTCATCCTGATGTTATTCCAAACCCTAAATGTCTGTCTTGCTTCCATAGAACACAAAAGAGAAACATTTAATAATGAATAGGATCTGAAGCTTTCAAGCCTCAAAAGTCATGAAACACAATAACAGTCGTCCATAAAACGTGTGTGTTGTCTTCCTAGATTTCTGAAGATATTCAATTAGGTTAAAATCTTAGTCGCTATTCAGTGAAAAATATTCTAGTGAATAGCAACTTGCTGATTGATGATCTGCTCTGGACGTTTGACATCTGCTGTTATCATTTACTTTTATTATGTTAAAAAGAGTGGCCGAGATACATACAGTATGTATATATGTATATGTATGTGTGTGTG